AAAAAAAAAAAAAAAATTATGGTCAAATGATTCTTTAGATCGTCTACTGCTTTTTTCATCATTTTATCAGCTTGAAAAAATTCAAAAGAAGTCTATTTTATTTGGTCATATTTAAGAATACCTCTAATGTTTCTACAGATCAGAAGCATCAATAAAATGCTAAATGAAAAAATCATTGCATCAGTTAAATCAATCTTTTGTTTTGTAAATATAAACATCGTTGAATCTTCGGTTCTCTTTTTTTGCAAAATCTAAACGTTCAATATGGTTGTTTTTTTTGGGAGAATGCAAAATGTCTCATTGGGTTACCGCAAAACTATTTTATAAGTTTCTTTTTGGTGTTGCTAAAGAATTTATGCAGTTTTAAAATGCTATAATACTTTCTGTTTAGGTAAATTTAAAATTTCATTTCTTTTCTTTTCTTATGCATTATTTATTTGAAAAGTATTTTCAAAAGAAGAAAGAACTAAAGAATGCTTTTTTTTAAATGTATTTTTATATAAAGCTGTATTTTTATAACATATGTTAAAGTAACACTTATCGTAGTTCTCCTTCCAGAAAAGCAAAATTTTCTCCAATTTTTTAAATAGAAAAAGAAGCTGTATTTTTGATAGCGTTTCTCCATCCTAAAAATGTTCTATTTTTTTATATACTTTTTGTTCTAATTATTAAAAACCCGTAAGACGTATTGGTGTAATTGATACTACCAGAAGTATAGATGATAAACGCAAAAGATTCTTCTCTTCTGCTGCCAGTAAACGAGGAAACTAGATGTTGTTTCAAGTTGTAAACCTGAGGCACCAAGTTTCCAAGTTTGCAGAACAGAAACAAAAACTGTCAATAAAGTTCACTTAAGATTTTTCAAACATTCTTAAATTTTAATAAAAAATTTACTGATTTACTGATAAATTAGCTCAACTTTTTTTTCAAAGTCGTTGTAGCAAATAATAGTTCCTTAAAAAGCAACAGGGCTTATCAGAACTTCTAATTTTTCTTAATGAAACCATCAAATTAGACAAATATATCATTTCACTAAACTGTCTCTCTTTTTTCTTTTCTGCTTACCAATGAACTGACGATGAGACAAACATTGATCACAATTTTTTAAACATATATTATAGCTGATAAAATAGACTAATAAAAAGCGATAAATTTGGAATACCCTGAAAAAACAGCTTCAGTTTCTGTAATATGAGCTTTTTTAACTAGTTAACCAAGCCTAGAATATTATTTCCAGCTTTTATTCGTTATTGGTAAACAGCTTAATTTTTCTGCAAAACTTGAACAACAAATTAGCAAATAAAAGATAGTAAGTGGAAGAAATGTTATTCTGTTTCTGGCGAAGCTTGGCATAAAAACTGGGCAAAAGATTTCTATCGCAATTCTTCGGTAAACACACTGTATCACCACACCAAACTTTTTGTCATTTTCACCCAGCAACTGTTTCACATATTCAGCAAACAAGTCGGCATTTGGTCAAATAGCAATTAAATATTTTATTCTATTTATAGAAAATTTAATAAAATTTTTTTTACTAAAATGTTACGCAAATATTATTTTGATTTGCATAGCGGAAAAAAAATCTTTCAAGCCTAGAAATCTATCTAAAATAAATTGTTTCTGTTTTCTGAAACAATTTGGATACGATAATCAATGTTACTGTTTTGTAAACTATAAGCTGATAACACCAGATTTGGGATACTGCTGGTCAAGAACGATTTCGGTCTATAACAAGTGCATATTATCGAGACGCAGATGCATTACTACTGATTTATGATGTTACAAACCGAGAAAGCTTTGTACATGTTCGGGTAAGCTAAAACAGTTTAACTTTTTACTACCGTTTAGCTGTTTGTCGATACATGTGTTATACTGATTGCAAAACAGCAATTCTTTAAATATTCTGCTGGTGATACAAATATAATTGGAAATTTTTTGATATAGACTTGCTGATGAATAGAGAACAGTATAATAAAATGAAAAACCAAATCTAAATTTGTTTTACATACTTTATTATTAGCATTTGAATGCTTTTTTTTTCTTTTAAATGTCCGTCATTTAAAAAAAAAAATGGCAAGTTGTTTGTCGATTTTATCAAACCATTTGTTATTCAAATTAAAGCTACTTGATCAAACAAAAAAAAAATCACTATTTGCACAAAATACTCTGAATTGCCACAAATGCCCTATTTCTTTTTCTTTTCACTTTTTTTTTTCTGAAATAATAACTGCTGCTTTAATTTGAGGATGAAAATGGTTAGTTGGTTGATAAATCTGTTGCTGCAAATTACTCATTGTCTCACAGAATATTCAGAATGCAACATATCTGTTTGAATGCTTACGTAAACATAGAATAAAAAAGTAAAATTATCAGCAAAAGTCACATCAACAAAATTACAAAACTCTAATATGGTGGTTAACTTATTCTCAGCTAATAATGTTTAATTTTACCACTAATTTTTGATAACTAATTATGACGTCTTTAGGACTGGTTGGCTCGAATTCAGGAATATGCCAAGAAAACTGCGCTTATAACTTTGGTTGGGAATAAGATTGACCTGCATAATGAACGTAAAGTAAAATACGAGGAAGCAAAACATTTAGCTGAAGTACTTTGTTAAACATTTTGTAGAATAATTGTTCTGAAGAAATCTTGACAATAAGAGCTGTTTTGTTGCAGAGTTACAATATACCATTTATCGAGACTAGCGCCAAGACCGGTCATAACGTTCAGGAAACCTTTCACGAAGTTTCTAAGTTTGTTTTTACTATATTATGTAATGCTCAAAAAAGAAAACCACTTTTGCTGTTTAGTTAACAGGGTTTCAGTACAATCAGTGAATAAAAAATACTGAATAAAGTTGAGACAAAAAGTGTCGATAATAGTGAATTGTTGACATCACCTAATTTCACTTTTTTCTTTCTGTATAACAAAAGCAAAAAAAGAAGGAGTATAGAATACAAAAAAAAAGCAGACAGACATTTAGTATTTTCAAAAATATGAGTAAGTTTCCAGTCTATAATGATAAAAATTAGCTTTTTTGGCTGTTTAATTTCTAAATTAGCCTCTGAAGTTGATGTTGCAGACGGCTAATTCGGACGTCAAACGGTGCAGATATTAGCGGTGGAGCAATAGTTGATCTCGTCGACGATCAATCTTGGAAACTTCAGCGTTGTTGTTCTTTGAGTTAATTGTTAAATAAATTACTGTACTCGTTTTTTTTTCCAAGAAACTTCTCTTTTTTCTTCTTTGTTCAATTACTTTTTTGTTTTCACTTTTATTTATTTATTTGTTTATTTTTGTTTGTTTATTTAATTCATTCCAAACACCGTTAAAATCTCAACCATTACAGCATATTTCATATTTATTTTGGTGTTTCAAAATTTTATAATTGTTCTCTTTTTTGTTGTTGTTTTTCTGTATGCTATTGACGATTCAAATTTCAGAATGTGATAAATATCTGAGTATATAAACAGTGTATGTTTGTAAAGACAAACTTATTTATTAAGCAATGTTACTTCCAAAAAACTACACTCAACTGGTCTTGTTTTTGTTACTTTTTTTTTTGCTACAAAATCTTAATGTAGGCACTAGTGACAAAAGTGGTTTAATTAGCCATATTGAGTTACAGATCCTGAGAGTTGAAGAACTGTAGATAACTGTCAATAATAAGAACAGAAAAGGAAATACAAATATCTATAAGAAAATTAATACCTTTTTTCATCCATACTTCTTTTTTTTTTTTTTGTTAATTATATTGCTCAAAATCTGCAAATTTTTAGGGGCTTTTAAATAATTTTTTTTTATTTTTTAAAGCTTTAGAAAACTTTATTTAACGATATAAATTTCATGGTCAATAAGAATTAAGCAATTGGTTTTTAACAGTAAAGATCAAACAAAAGAAAAGCATTCTTGTGTTAACTAGTGAATTTTTAAAAGTTGTCTTTATTTCCATCAAACAGTCTTCTAAACTCGAAATGGATTGTTTTTCACTAAGGAATATTGAAAGTGTGCTAAGTGCTTAGAAGCTGAAAAGAGCAAAATCAGCTAAGGAATGATTTTTTAACTGAGTCCACATTGGCACTGTTGCGTTTCCCTTTTTTTTAAAGCTACACAAAACTTCAGTGAATTTTGTTTCATTCAATGCATCTTAGTGATTGTTGAATGCTCTCAGACTAGTCTAAGTCTCATCTATCAGCATTCTTTTGTTCCATGTTCCCTTTTTTGGCTTAACTTGAACATTAGGTTGTGCAATGCCTGACAGATGGATCTTTTCGTAAATAAATCCTCTATAATTTGATTTTTTTCTCATTTAAATTCTTCTGTAATCCCGTTATCATGCTGTGTTTGTTGTACATCACTGTACTTTTATCGTTGCCGTATGATCTTTATCTCCGTTTTCCTTCTTTTTTTTTCTCGCAAAACCTTTGTAATAATGCTTTGGTATCACTAGCGGCCCTGATTTGAATTGAGTTTTTGTTCAATGTCACCAGAAATTTGCCATTTATCATAATCTTTAAAATTATGCATGCTTTTTTCAACGGTCAAATTGTTCGAGTAAAAAGAAAAGAACAAAATAAGAAAGAAAGAATGAAGGAAAAAAAGT